CAATCTGCACTTTGAATCATTTGATGACTTTTCAATTCTGGCCTCAGCACCCACAGAAAAGAGCCTCCAGGCTTCTGCATCTTCAACTGGCAAGGGCAGGAGACGAAGAAGCCGTCCTGTCGAACTCACTGGTCACTTCCATTGGGTAGAGGCATATTCTGTCTTCTGGCCACTCAGGAGCTTTCGCAGGGCCTCCTTGACCTCCTTATTTCGGAGGCTGTAGATTAGGGGGTTCAGCATGGGGGTAATGATGCAATAGAGGGTGGAGATCAGGGTGTCCACCCCCAAGGAGTAGCCTGCGCTGGGCCGGTTGTAATTCACAATGGCCATGCCAAAGTAGATGGTGACCACAAATAGGTGGGCAGCACAGGTGGAGAAGGCTTTGCTCCTGCCAGTATTGGAGCGGATCCGCAAGATGGCAGAGACTATGCTGGTATAAGACATGAGGATAAACAAGAAAGGACTTAAGCTCATGAAGATGCTGGCCAAGTGGAGAGCCATCTCGTTGATGTAAATGTCACTGCAAGCAATTTTCAGGAGAGGTGGAACATCACAGAAGATGTGGTCGATCTGGTTGGCTCCACAGAAGTCCACGTTGGTGGCCAGTACAGTGTGAATGACTGAATCAAGAAAGCCCCAGATCCAAGAAGCAATGGCCAGAGGGATACGTACCTGACTGCTCATCAGATTACTGTAACGTAGTGGTTGGCAAATGGCAGCATAGCGGTCAAAGGCCATAATAGCTAGAAGTGCGCATTCAGACCCTGCAAACATCATCAGGAAGAACATCTGAGCCATGCATTGGTTGTATGAAATAGTGTGTCTCTGATGCAAAAAATTGGTCAGGATCTTGGGGACTGTGACAGATGAGTAGCAAACATCTAAGCAGGACAAATGGCTAAGGAAAAAGTACATGGGGCTGTGAAGACGTGGGTCCAACTGGATCAGGGTGAAGATTGTGGCGTTCCCAATTATGGTCACCAAGTAGATGGCTAGGAACACTACGAAGAGGTAGATCTGGCCATGGGGAACACCTGAGAAACCAAGGAAGACAAATTCGGCCACCTGGGTCTGATTCCTGGCACCCATGGGAACCACAGTGTTGGTCTGCGGGGGGAAGAACAAAGGGAAATGGGGTGTAGTAGCATTGCAACAAGATGGAGGTTTCTTCCATTCAAAGCAGACGAACCCAACATTCATGTCTTTCATTCTCCCTTTTCTCACGGGAATTCTGGCTTCCTCCAAAGTCATCTAGAAGTGGTTTCACCAACATGCTTTCCCCTCAGTCCAGGTTACTGAAGCCCAATGACTATTCACATAATGTGATGCACAGACCAATCAGACAACTTTAGCTCTGTCTCTTCAGTTTGATTGTGTGAGCTGAGTTCCAGCATCAGTTGAGAAAGAGGAGAACCATCAATCCGCCTGTTCGCCCTTCTGGACTCTGCCGTGATCCTCCTCCTTCCCTTCCTTGGAGACTGGAGTCTCCAGCGGGTCTCCCGGCCTCACAGGCAGCTGCTTCGGCCCCCGGATTATTCCGGTTCTCCCTTTCTGCTCCTTTTTCATCACCAGGTGCCCAGATCCCGTTTGAGATACAGTGACTGGAGCTGTGCACCCTTTCCCCAATAAGCCTGCAATCCATGCTTACAAGCTGCTTTGCAAGAAAGAGGCATTTTGAGGATTCAGTTTCCCCCAGCC